CGTCGGAAGTGTCTGCAGCCCAGGGCCTGACCCAGCTCTTCTTTCCCCCACTGGCCACCCCCAGCTCCTTCAGCCTGCGCCCGTCCGGCGCTTGGCCCTTCCCGTTGATCGTCCTTGTCCCTCGCCTCCGGATCCTTTCCAGTCGCCCTCCGGCCTTTCTGGGCCTCAGGGACCCGCCCTGCCCCGGCAGCTGTTCCATCCCCGAGCATGTCGATGGCCCCGTTCTGTTGTGCAGCCCCCACCGCTGGCAGCCCAGGTTGCGGCAGAGCCAGCACCGAGCCAGGAACAGGGCCCAGGAGCCCTGGGAGGCAGATTGGGCAGGATGTGAATTCAGCTGACAGGGCAGGAACGATGCTAATAGGGGGCAGGGCCTTGGGTTATAACAGTGCCCCCTACAAACCCTGCCCCCTGCAGAACAGCGCCCCCTAGTGCCATACTGGGGCACTGGGGCCAGCCCTGCCTGCCTGGGGAGACCCCGCCCCTGCAGCACAGCGCCCCCTAGTGCCAGGGAAGGTTCCGTGGCAGTTGGCGGTAGCTGCAGACAGGCGGGGGCAGACAAGCTCTCTGGGGCCATGGGATGGAGCCGCAACCAGCTCCGCACCCTAGTCCTGCAGCCCCGATGGAAACAAGGGTCTCGATGTCGGGAACAGGCAGTGAGTGAGTAAGGTGGGGTGAGGAGAGATCTGGGCCCCTAAAGCACCCTCAGAGCAGCAGGTCCTGTAAAGAGAGAGTGGTGTGTGTCTAGGGCTAGATAGATAGATACACAAATGCTTACAGAGCTAGCTAGATAGATAGAAGGGGTGTGTGGAGATAGATAGATAGATAGATAGATAGATAGATAGATAGATAGATAGATAGATAGATAGATAGATAGATAGATAGATAGATAGATAGAGGTGCAGATAGATAGATTAGATTAGATTGTATGAACAGAGAGTGGGTTATGGGCCATATGGACACATGGGGTGTATGGGGATGAACAGATGGAAGGGGTATACAAGGATGGACAGATAGATGGGGGTATATGGGGATGGATGGATTGATGGATGGATGGATGGATAGTACATGGAGACGGACAGACAGATGGATGGAGGGTGTATGGGGACAGATGGATGGATGGATGGATGGATGGATGGATGGATGGATGGGGGTGTACAGGGATGGACAGATGGATAGATGGGGAGTGTACAGGGATGGATGGGTGGATGGACAGAAGGGGGTTGTACAGAGATGGATGGACGGATGGATAGGGGGTGTACAGGGATGGATGGACAGATGGGGGGTGTACAGGGATGGACGGACGGATGGATAGGGGGTGTACAGGGATGGATGGACGGATGGGGGGGGAACAGGGA